AGTGGTAATTCCGCCCTGAGGCAAGGGCAACAAATACTTCTATTTAGCAATTTATAAAGGTATGCCTCTCAACAAGTTGAGTCACTTTAGTCTATCTTAAAGTTAATCTCACACTCAAATGACTTCAGCCCTGAAATGGGAACAGAAATAAACCTGCAACACACACTCCCCACTCGGTGCCTGGGTCGGTGCCTGCACTCACCGTAGGGTGACCGGGGATAGAACGGGGTGGTCTCCTTCTGAGGGATTTCTTGCACTTTCCCATAAAGTTCACTGGTTGATGCTTGATAGAACTTCACAGAGTTGATGAGGCCACAGGTCTTAATGGCGTCCAGAAGCCGCAACGTGCCAACACCATCAACGTCTGCAGTGTACTCAGCGAGGTCAAAAGAAATCTGGGAGGAGCAAACACAATGGCTGCATCAGTTGGGAATCAAAACCATGCTGCCAACAGTGGCAACAAGGCATGAGTGTGCACATTTTGAGATATTTTATGTGGGAGAAAGCAAAAATTGCCCCCTGATACCACAGAAAGATCATAGATGTCATCTATGTCTTACACTACATGGCTATACATTTAAGAAATACAGAATCATCATCATAATGGTAACATTTTTAACCGCACTTGTATCACTTCTAAATTCTAACCCTGAGTCCCTAAGGCAAAGTCTGCTCCTCAGAATCATCTGGGGCCCCTTGAAAATGCATATCAAAGCAATTTCTGGGAGGTGGGTGCCTAGACTGTGTGCATTCAAACAAGCTCTCAGTGGGGTTGCATGGACAGAGCAGTTGGGGAACATGTACTATAGTTAACTTTTGAAGGCAGCTGTCTATTTTCTATTTTTAAATTTAGGTATGACTCGCATTTAGTACAGTTTATGAAAGGAGTTAGCAAAGTTTGTGGGAAAACTGCATGATTATTTCAGCTCAATCTGCATATCTTTTTTATTTTTTTTAATCCTAAGGGACTCTACATACAGGAAGATACTAATGTAGACACATAAACTGAAAGATTTCAGAGGAAAAGGTGTTAAAGAATAATTTAATATTTTTAATGCTTCAATATTTTCAAAATTTCAAAGTATTTAAAAAAAATAAACTGGCTATAATGCACTTTTTTTATTACAAACAAAATGCACAAACATACCTAAAAAAACACCTAAAATAAGGAAGCTGAACACCAACCACAAGGACCTTTGTCACACATTTGTTCACAGGCTCAGTGTGGCCAGGAACAATGCAAAAACAGGCTTTTCTCTGTGCCTTATGAATAACTTGTCTGTACCTGGAAAATCTTTCTCTGAACTGTCTGAAGTCACTGGCCTCACTGGGACTCAACTCAGACTATAAATTCAATTCATCTAGGGCTGTGGATAACTCAGAATGAACAATACACACACACACACACACATATGCACGCGCGCGCACACACATATATAAAGGGAA